AAAATATAAGTTAAAATAGCTAATTTTAACTTATATTGAAAATAAAAAAAATAAAATCAGACTTTGTAATGCAGCTTTTATGCAAAGCGAATGAAATAATTATTTAATGATGATTAAAAAACATTCTGAAAGTTTATGTTTCTTTAGCTATTCTGCATCATCATCAGAGGTCAAAGGTTAATGTTCTTTGGTTTAGCGTGTTTGTGACGCCGCTGGTGTTTGACTCTGCAGCACACGATCCGGGCTCCAAAGTCAGGTGTGATTAAGAAGGTTTTTTTCGTCGAGGGATCTCAGGCCAGTCGGCACGCTGCTCTGGTGGAACTGGAGGAGGAAGAGGAGGAGAAGGAGGAAGAGGGGAGCAGCCAGTAAACGTTCAAACCCACCGACAGGAAGAAGAGCAGGAGGCAAGCTGAGTGAGAGTCAGAATCTCCTGTCGTAGAGCAGCAAAGTCTTTCAAAGTTTCCCTCTTACTCACATGAATGCATCAGAATCGGAACCAGTTTATTTTCCAAGTGAATCATGCGCAGCACCTTCAGGATGCATTCAGTGTCAGGACGCCTCTTTTCTTCAGTCTGGTGTCATTTTCCTGCTTTTACTCGACACATAAAAGAGGGAAAGAAAATAATGTGCAGCTTTTCCACCAAAAGAAGCACAAAACACAAAAAGTGGCAAATGAAAGAAAAACAGCAGGAAGTACAACAGCTATTAGAAGTTTCATTAGAAACTGGTTGATTAAATAATTTTCCAACTCTGCTCAAAGTTGCCTTTTGTGGAGATAAAAAAAAAAAAGTTAATTTTTACAGATGAAGTGTGAGCTCATCTCTGCGACTCAGCAGGTCTTTACGGTGCTTTGTTACTGAACTGAAAGTTTCCAGAAAAGCAAAGGTTTCATTTGACTGGAAAATATGAAGGAGTATCAGGGCCATGCTAAGGAAAGAACTAAAAAATAAAATTAAGAGAATAAAGTCAGAATAATACAAAAATAAAATCGTATTTTGGGATTAAAGTCTTGAAATATGAAACTTTATTCAGATTTCAAATATATGAGAATAAAGTTAAAATAAAACAATAAAGTTGTAATACAAAAATGGTCTAAATAATGAGAATAAAACCATATTCTGCGAACAAAACCAAACTAACTCAAGTTGTTACATAACTTTATAATTTTATGACTTTATTTTTGCAATTATATTTTTGCATATTTTCTTAGCGTGGCTCTAAAACTCCATCATGAGAAAAACCTCAAACTAACATTTTTACTAATCCTGATGTCAGAAGTTTCGCGTTCGCATCAGAAACACTCCAGAGGGATTTTGTGGGAGGATGTTTTATTCTTGGTGTAAATCAGTCGCTGTGACCCCAGATTGACCCCGTGCTGCTCGATAAGTGGGTCGCTGCTTTCGGCAGACAGATGTTTGTTTCCGTTTCTCTCCTCCAGCGGATGATTTTCACACGCAGGACAGTCTGACGGATTTTTCTCTCCTTACCGACGGTGAGGCTGTATTCTCTGTGTTCACTTCCTGGATTGTTTGTAGCTGATTATAACTGTTAGTTTTGTCAAATACTGTAATAAATGATTTTTTTCTAAATACACCCAGCCACCTGTGATGTTTTATAACAAATACTCTTTAAAAGCTGTGTATTTCACTGGTCGTTTAGTTGATAGTTTAAACCTTTGGATTTCATAGCGGTACGTTCTTATTTCTGATTTTTGCAGACAAAAAAAAGAAGTAATTAAGTAAAAGTTACTAATAATCTGGAATAAAACCACAGCAGAGGTGAGATATCAGAAACTAAAATTATGAAAAGTTTATCAGAAAATATCATTGCAGAGTTAAAAACTTACCTTAATTCAATTTCTGCTTTTCCGTTTTGTATTTATGTTTTAAAATACAAATTAAGATTTATTTTGTGTTTCTGTGAACTGCTTGTTTGCTGACAGTGTCACAAACACTGCAGATTTTGGATTTGTTTCTGTAACTATTCCTTTAATGCTCATGTTAGTTTAATTTATATCCAGCTTTTAATCTTGCCTCAATTTAGAATTTTATAGGATTATTTATTTTAAAATTGTATCACTTTATATCATTGAGAATCTAAAATAAAAACCAACTTGCAGTTTAATTTTGTCATAATTTAATTTTACAACTCATCCCACGTCACCAGAACATAAATTAAATCCCTTAAACTTTTACAGTAAAAATAAAACCTGTAAACTTCCTGACAAGCTTTCTTGAACCGTTTTTTTTTTTTGCAGCATTTTAAATCTATAAATCTTGTCTACTAACTTGGAAAATCCAGAATATGAAGTTGTTAGATATTTCTTGTATAATAATATCTTGTATAATAATAATTTTGCCCAAATAAGGTTCTGTCTGCAATTTAATGACAAAATTGCAGACCGAACTTAAAAACTATTATGAAAACATTAATATTTGCTGTATTATTACAATACCAACACTGTATATAATAATTTTTATGCTTAGTAAATTATTTGTATTTATTTCCAGTTTTAATAAATTGACTTTTATTATATTACACTGTTGACTCAGAAGATCAATTTTCATTTTTTTATTTATGAATATAATTATTTTCCTTCATCTTCACACATGTAGACTACATTGTGTTTATTAGATAAAATCCCATTAAAATACATTGAATTTTGTAATTATGACCAAATGTGAATAAAATCCCCCTATTAATACTTTAAGGTATTGTAATGTTGGATGGAAAACTAAATTGTAAGGTAATTAATTTGCTCTTGGACTGGCAATGTGGCCTAACTGGTGGATCATGGGATAGAGTTTCACAAAATTAAATATATTTATTTTTTAAATGTTTGACAAACACATTCTTTACTGTTTTTCTATGCTCATGTATTTTTCCATTTCTGAAAAATATGACATGCTTCTTGTCAGAAATCTTTATTTTTGACTGAAAATAACTGCAGAAACTCCCCAAAGTCTTCAGGACGTTGTCTAACGGCAGAAATGAGGCCACACCTGCAGGAGGACTGGTGTCTCCCAGGAAGCATGGCAGTGAATGTTAAAATGTTAGCCAAAAGCTCTTCCAAGCACTTGCATGATTGCAGTTTAAATTCAATTCTGCACAAAGCTGGGACAGCAGCCAGACATTATCTTGTGCCTGGCCATCATCCGTTTCCATAAACGACATTGAGGCTGTTGTGGATCAGTGGCTCTCATTCTCCTGCCTCCATTAGAAAAACGTAGCCAATTGTCTGTGACCATCGGCAGAAACTCATGTTACAAAGACCTGAAATAAATTAAAGAGGTAAAACCTCAGAAATCTAATCAAAATAAATGACTGAGTATTTTGATTTTATTTTCTTTTTTCTCTCTTTCTATGGATTTATTAGTCTTAATTTTGCATGTTTTTGAACGCCCCTTTGGGTCTCACCTGCTTCTAAAAACAATCCAAGCACTTAAAAAAAACAACATTCAACCATTTTGTGGTAATAAGATGCTTTTTTGGATGAAAAAAAAATGCTAGAAAAAAACTCAAATTTTTATAATAATAAAAATTCCCTAGAAAAAACTTGAATTTTTGTTTAAAAATTTGAAAATTTTCAACTTTTAGAAATTTCTGAAAAATTTCAATTTTGGAACTTCCTCAGAAATTTCCTTGTTTCAAGAAATTTTTGTAAATTAATCTACAAAATTTCAGTTTTTTGTTGTTGTTTTGGCAGGAATGTACTCCCTTTTCTTTCTATCTGTGATGTCTGTCATGCCATGGTACAAAATGGCTCATTCTGAAAGAAGCTCAAAATCTCATTAACTAAGAATAATTTTGTGCAAAAATGTAATGAACATATTTTAATTAGATTATTTAAGCTGTCAATGAAGCATTTTTGAAATTGAATTTTGTAAGAGTAATAGGCCACCTTTAAAGATCGTATCATTTTCCTGCCTGAAAGCCCCAGGCTCAGTCCAGCCCAGATGTGAGAAGGAAAGGAGGTCCCAGATGTTGGCGCTGCGGTGGCGTTACGTAAGTCGGCGTAAACTAGAGATTTCACTGGCTGTCACATGGGGTGAAACCCAGCAGGCAGCGGATTAAATCCTGGATTTTCAGAGGAAATCTGCCTTTTTAAACAGAGTTTGTAACATGTCTGCTTTTACAATAACAAAAAACACTTCAGTAGTTTTCCAACATCACATTGACCAGTAAACCTGAACGGAACCCCATACTATCATTTATTTTATTATCATGACCCCCCACATAGGGAATCCAAATGGAAAACAAAACAATTTGCTGAATGGGCTGCCTTATAAAGCAAGAATAACTGCATTTGGATCAGTGGAAAACATCCAAACTCGTCCACTAACCAGAGTTAAAGAGAGGTGGAGAGATAGAGGCGGGCGGCTGCAGCTGTTCTGCTCCAAATATAGCTGCTGGCACACATCGATTACACCGGATCATTAGCATTAGCTCCTCCTGCAGCTAACCACTGCATGTTTTCAGTCAAATGCAACACGGCTGAAAGTGGGACATACTCACAAACATCTCACAGTTACTGCAGTTATTTAGACTTTAAGTCTGTAATACTTTATAACACAATCTGAAAGCATAATTTTTTTTTAATTGATTAACTGGATTAAAATTGGCAAATTCTGCTGATTTTCCTTTAACCACTTAGGCTTTTTTTCATACAATATTAGAAATGCATTACAAGATGCAAATATTTTCCTTTTTTAATAAGAAAAGTAAAATTTTAACAGCATTCCTTTAGTGCTTGATCATTTGTAGCAAAAATACTTAAACATGAAAATCTCAGACTTCTGGTAAGTTGCAACATGAGGTTGATTGACAGCGTTAAGACCCTCCTCCTGGCTCTGATTGGTTGTTTTTGGTACATTTCTTCAGACAATAATAATGGCTCACTTTTCTGTCTTAAACCATCAAGACATGGTCAAAGTTTAATAAATATCACCTTCCTATATTAATGGCCTGAGAGATTTTTTTCTTTAAAAAAAAAGCCATCATTTTAGGAAGGTGGTGATATAGAAAAAAACATTTTATATAAAAGCTACATGCAGCAGCTGTGTTTTTTATATATTTGTTAAAACTGTCACTATAATAGTATAATATGAGACACATAATCTGAAGAAGAAAACAACCAATCAGAGCCAAGAGGAGGGTCTTAGTGCTGTCAATCAATCTCTTGTACTCATGTGCTAGTGATATTCCTGTAAGAACTTACATTACACGAAAATCTTTTATCCGTTGTCATCTGTGGCTATAGGAACAAGCCAGAGCATTCACAACAGGCTATGCTAGCTGCAAGGGAATAAGATAGTGATTGACAGTGTTAAGTCCCGCCTTCTGGCTCTGATTGGTTGTTCCTATTTCGCACTGGCTCCAATATTTTCACAGATTGTCTCTTAACATACAGTTTCAACAAGTATGTAAAAAAGTATTTTTATAAAAGCTACATACTGCAGCTTTAAAGGACTCTGAACACCACATTTTTCACAATTTAGTTTGAAAACAAACAAGTGAAGTTGGTGCCTCCTGTTCCTTCTTCCTGACCAATATGAGCTTTTTGTGTGTTGGTTTGTCATAAAGTAAATATTTTACAGACAGGGGGCGTTCACAGGCTGCAGAGAGAGCAGCCAGTGTATGCGCCTCACCGAGCTGTAAGTTGGTGTGTGTGTCCGTGTAAAGTGATCGTGGCAAAGCAGAGAGAGAGAGAGAGAGATGTAGCACTGGGACTCTCCTCTGTCACTTTTACTTGTAATCATCTGTCCGGCGCAGTGGGGACGTTTTGAAGCGCCTGCTTTATGAGGAGTCGCATTTTACGAATGAGCCACGCAATGCGACCGAGGAGAGCTGCCTCTCGGAGGATATATTGCGGCTTCTGGACTGCTTCGTCGGAGTAGCTTGGTGCTAGCGCGGGGCTAACGTCTTGTGCTGGCTTCTCCGGAGCGTATCCTGTCAAGATGCTGCGGTGGATACGGCAGCAGCTGGTAAAAAAATGCTTTCTCTGCCTCGTATTAGCGCCGCTTTCCAGCAGTACCCCAAATTTAACGCACGCCTCAGCTCTTGGAGAGATGTACGAACTTTATTTGGCTGGATTTTAGCAGGCTAACCTAGCCCTTTTTTTAGCTGTTGTCGAGGTGTTTAAAACATTGTCGTCTTCCGTCAGGTAGACGTTACGGTTGGCTAACGTCTACCTTCGGAGCTAGCTGGCAGTTGGTAGCTCAGCTGTTTGGAACTAAACAACGGGTCGCGTTCAGGTTTAAACTCGGTTTTAAGTGACAATTTGCTACAATTTTAATCCAGCTTGGACCGGTTTCTGTGGAATATGGACCAACTAGATGGCTAACAACGTAAAAGTAGGTAAAGTTACACCGAGTCCTCTCAAACTTTTAAAACGGCACTTAAAACTATTTTTTTTCTTTTTTTTCAAACTAGCTTGAGTTTAGCAGTTGGTTGCACATTAGCTCTCCCTCGGTAGAATATTTGAAAACGTTTGGTTTGTTTTAACTTTCAAGATAACTTTAAACGGCCATCGTTATTGTGTTAACTGTAAATACACACAGTGGCTAAAATTTATTGAGATCACATATGGATTAAAAACAAACGAAATAGTCTAAAAAAAGCATTAAAAATAAAATCTCCCGGTATTTTACCTGTTTGAATGGAAGCCCATTTCCGCGGTAAAACGATAGAAATGACAAATTTCTGTTTCTCAGTTTATGTGAAATGTGTAAATAATTTGGCGCCTGACAGAAAATCAATCTCCAATTAATTTTGTAATTGGCTTTTAGTGACATGAAGTTACATTTCAGGAATTTAACTGAGTAATAATTTATTTTTAAGAAAAACAAAACAAGAATGCAGCAAGTCACTGACTGCAGCATTCAATCCTTCTGGACCAAAATCGTTGACTTTGCAGCAATCTCTCATACTGAGCATGCATGTAGCGACAGTGGAGAGGAAAATCGCCCCTTTAACAGGAAGAAACCTGTAGAAGTACTTTTTATGTTAATGGAAAAGATAATAGGAGAGGGAGAAACAGTGGATGACACCATTATATCGGTCGATGCTATGTCCTGGGAAGTAAATGGTTATCCGTGTGATTATTAATATTTTTTAAATCCAAATTCAGATCCTCAATAAGCAAAATGGAAGCAGGTTTTGATGTAATGGCTAAATGAGCAAAGTAAAAACCGATTAACCAATAATCACAAAACTATTGTTTCTGGACGATAAATTGTCCCAGAAGTTACAGTGATAACCGATAATGTTGTTTTGAGACCATTTTCTAGTAATATAATAATAATGTAAGAACACATTCTCAGTATTAATAAACCTTAAATTCTAATCAAAATTAACACTAGAACTGAAAGACACTTTAAATATCCAAAATAAATAAACAAAACAACAAATAAAATGAATTAGGAAGTCTCTGTAAACTAAGCTTGTCCTTCAAAAAGGGTTTACTTGAGACCAAATCACTAAACTGAAGACTTTTATCAGTTTTTGTAGAAAGAGAGAAATTATTCTAATGGATATTAATTTTGTTTTAATTTATCATGTGATTAATTGATTTAATGCGACAGACCTAATCATGTGACAGCTGGCCTATTATATATGAAATAATCTTGTACATATTTGCCGTTGTATTGATAAATTTGTATAGATTAGCAAAACCAAAAAATTGAGGCAGTTTGAATTTGGTTGCATTTTTTTAATTGACAATATTGATAAAAAAAATTAAGCACCCCTGCTGAAATTTTACCGGTGACCCAATTGCAATTGCAGCTACTCTCTCCTCTAAGTACTTTGAAATTGTTTGCTGTTTACATTGTATTTGGTATGTTGGCAACATTTTTAAATGAGTTTTATGCCAAAGTTTAAATTCATAAAAGCTTTAAAAAGACTTAAAACAAATATTTACGACAGATCAGTGCATGGAGGTGCCATAAATTTATCCTGCTGTACAGAAAAAACTTATTTTATTGTCTTTGGACCTAAATAGGAATGATCTAGAGTCAGCACACAGCTTCAGTTATTATAGCTAGAAACGTGTAGTGAAGTACTCAGACCTGAACCTTCAAAGACACATAAAAATGGTTACAAATTTAGCCTTTTAGCAGCTGAGAAACATTTCCATTATCTAGAGAAACTCCTCCATGCATTTATCTTTAATTACATTTATTACTGCAACAGTGTCTTCCCAGGTCTGACAAAAAATAATCCTCCTGCTGCAGCTGATTCAGAACGCTGCTGCTGGAGTTCTGACTAAATCACCCAGTTCTACAGTCCTTCCAGATAATAAACTTTAAAATACTTGTTAGTTTATAAATCACTGAACGGCCTGGCACCACAATTCATTAAAGACCTGCTGCTGTTGTCATAGCAACCTTCCAGACCTCTCACGTCTTCTGGGACCGGATCTGCTCTGTATCAGAATCAGAACCAAACGTGGAGAAGCAGCATTCAGCTTCTATGCACCACAAATCTGGAAAAATTTCCAGAAAACTACAAAACGCCTGAAACACTGAGTTCCTTTAAATCTAGACTAAAACCCACTGGGTCAGAGCTGCTTTTGGTTCCTAGCAACTGGACCAATTGATTTTGATGATGGCCTTTTGACAAAATGTTATGTTGATTACTTGTTTCATAATTGGTTACTGTATTGTGGTTTTACAGTGTAAAGCTCTTTGAACTGCTTTGTTGCTGAAATGTGGTATAAAAATTAGACTTGAAATGAAAATGCTAATGTCTTTAAAAGGTGTTGAATCTGCTAACAGAGCTGGGCAGAGTATCTAAAGATTATACTTAAGAATATCACTACTTCAACATATTTGTACTCAAGTAAAATTAAAAAGTAGCCAAGAAATTACTCAAGTAAGAGTAAAAAAGTATTTGGTAAAAGGTTTACTCAAGTACTGAGTAACTGATCAAATTAAAGATTAGACAATCAGACAGAACAAAATATAAAGTTTAGTGGAAAGTTTGGTATTTTAAGAACCAAAATGACAATAATTCATATAAGTAACAAAAAATAACAATCTGGTAAAATAACATTTTTCCAAATCAGTTTCTTTAGTTAAAAAAACTTTAACAGAAACAGAAAAGGTGTGTATCTGTGTTTGGTGAGTTCTTAGTTAAAACATGTCTGCTTTTCATTCAGTGGGTAGAAAATCCAGAAATTTTATTCAAGTAAGAGCAGAAATACTTCATTGTATAAGCAAAAAGTACAGCATAGTAAAAATACTCCTAAAAGTACATTTCTTCTAAAGTTACTCAAGTAAATATGTACCAACTCTGCTAACCAGAACAACGAATAAAAAGCTGCGATTGCGACGCGGCTGGTACTGTAATCGCCAACAGGCCCTGACTCGCTGATTGTACTTTACTTTATGCTTGTGACTTATTAAAGTCATAAAAGAATAATCTTAAAGCAACCAGAGTACGCAGACCAAATTTAGAAATGGAAATTCATGTTACCATTTTAAAGTTGTTGCTCTAAGTCATTGTGGGATACTTGATTTACAGGATTTTACTTGAGAACTGTTGCAGTTCTGGCTTTAAGTAAGCAAGTTTTTCTTTGTTTTGCGGCCTGTATCAATGTTACCTTTATCCAGGCCTTCATTGACTTTCAGTATCCGGTTAATAAATGGAGAGACGGTTGCAGGGTGTGTGAATACGTGAGATAAGTTACTCATGCTTAAACCATGATGTCACAGTAAAGAATGAGTTCAGTTTATTTTTTTTAACTCCCATGTGTTAATCACTGACCAATTCAGGGTTACTGGGTCTTTCATTACAGTTTAGCTTTGTTTCGTTGTGACTTTTTGGCTAATTCAATTGGTGTTACTTAGTTTTTAGTGAGTTTTCTAGTTTTTATTAGATAAATATTGTTTAGATTTAGATTAGTTTTTATGAGTTGTAGTAGTTTTAATTTTTTGATGCTTTGGTTAAATTTTAGGTGCAGAAATGAGGGTTTCACCCCCAGAAAACTTGCTAGTTTCTGACTTGACAGGAAATTTGAAAATGTCACTAGGTTATTATGTGTTATTGGAGGACATGATTAACCTAAACACCAACTATTAAATCTCTAACTTTAAAAAGGCAAACATTAAGCTAAAATAAGTAAGCAATGCTTAACCTAACTGAGGCGAAAGTAAAGCCTGGAGGCCCGCCAGGCTGAAAATACACTGAGGGAAACCCTGAAATTCAAAAATTGTGTTTATGTTAACATTGACTGGTTAATGAAAACTCAACAGAAAAAATACTACTTTCAAAAAATGGATTCAGTTATTGTTGAACAGCCAACAGACTCTGGAGTTTTCTCCCAACTGTTGCTGTTGGCATTTTGCAGACCAGCGACCGAAATTTACCAACAGCTGCTGAAAACTGCTTGTATGTGTGAGGAAAAAAAAATCAAAAGGCTAATAGTCAAACACAAAAATGAAGGATAGTATTTCTACAATTTTAGTATGTTTTAAAAACGCAGATTGTAGTTCTAGTTATTGTTTTTCCCCCTTAATTATTTCAGTTAACGGAAATTTTTCTTAATTTCAGTTTTGTTGTTTGTTTTAGTTGAGTATAATAAACTTGACTACTTCCTGCTGCTTTAGTTTTAACCACTGACTCTTTGACTCTGTAGAAACGTCAAACTTTAGTTTTTTTTCCTGTTTTCAGAGGTTAATCCTCGGCTGTTATCTGACCAGAGAATTTGGGTCCTAATTTGAGATAAACCCGGCTAATTTAACCTCTCTGTTAGAACTGACCTGCCCAGTTAAGTAAAAGTTTAATTAAATTGCACTTTAGCACACCTGGCCTAATTAAAAGGCTTGTCAGAAGGCAGCCGTCCGCCTGCTGCTTTTTCTTTCTTCTTTAGTTTCTTTTTGACACAGAAAAGAGGAGAAGGATGTCAGAGTGGCGGCTCGACTGGCTTTTAATGTCAAACTTCCTACATACGCAGAGCTGACATCATGCGTTGACTTCTGCATTTACACCATAAAAACCTTCTGTAATCATAGCTTATGTAACGAGCATCTGTGAAAACTCACACGGACTCTTTTTGTTCTGCTGTACAGCCGTAACATAAAGAGTGATGTTAGTGACTTGCACACCTCCTGCGGGGCGTCGTTACTTGAAGTTTCCTGCAGGATCTCTTACAGACATTGTCGTAAAAACTAATAATCTACTGTCAGAAAGCAGTAAAACTGGAAAATAATCTTGTACCACTCCATCATTGATGCTACATGTAGGCCTGTCACGATAACAAATTTTGCTGGATGATTAATTGTCTAAAAAAATTATTGCGATAAACGATAATATTGCTTCAAGACCTTTTGACACTGATTTAATGGAAATG